TATACATCCAAGAAATACCACGCTTGGGTGTGTGTTGGGTGTACATACACTAAAATCAATATCACAAGTAAAAAATTCTGTCGCATCAACATATCTTTTTGAAAGATTTAAGTCTTACATCCCGTGAATTCTTGTGATTGTCATTTTGTTATTTTATAGTAAATACAAGTTCATCATTTTAATTTTATCTTTAATATTATCATGCCGCCTTGACTTCTAGCACAATTGTTTCATATCATCATGTTCAATTGATGGTATCATAATATTATGAAAAATGAAAAGAACAACCTTCAACTTGAAAAGAATTATTATTCCAAATTTGTACATGAATTGGAGTTGCAACTTATGTGGAGAAGCTTTCAGTACAAGATATTAACTTGATTTTTTAAAAATTTAGTAGCAGATGTGAGATTGCATTGATTTGTACACACAAATACATAATACTATTCCTATCAACATAAAATTTGCAATAAAACTTCAATAATAAATCTTTCATGGATATAAAAATTATTCAAAATGTTTGATAGAAATGTATGATTATTTTATCACACAGTATTTATAAGTGTTTCATTAAAAAAAAATAATTAAAATCATAACACGAATTTTTATAAAAATATTGAATGTATTCTACAAGCTTTGGTTTTGAGAAAGTAACTATTTTTTGAAGGAGAAAGTTAGGAACAAAGGAGTTGATTTGAAAACTTGGGCTAAGGTATTGTACAAAAGGTTATGTCAAATTTACCCGGAACCCAATTGTTATGTTTTTAAGGAATTGAAACCCAATGAAGATTGTGTACAAGTTCTAGATCATTTTTTTCAAAGGGATTCGTTTCAATAGTTTCAAATAGATCAATATAAACGAAAATTCAAATACATAAATAGATTATAGTATAATCATCACTGAACCCGTATCCTCATTTACAAAAACTCACTTTTGAATATCACAAATAGGTTTTGCCGAGATATTTGCTTGAAGGGACCCATCAAGAACATATTTGCTTGATGGTACCCATCAAGTTTCGTTTTACCCGATGGGACCCCAACGACCGCACATGGCAGACTGTTCTAGTATGAACAGACGGCGTGAAGTATGGTCCAGCGGTTGACGCTCGACGCTCGGAGAGCGGAGCGAGGAGGACGAGGCCCTAAACGACCGCACTTCTCCCTCCTAGGGTGACTGACTCGAGAAGTGATGAGACGAGCTCGCTCGAGCGTGGAAGCTCGCCGGTGTGGAGCCGAAGGTTGTGTTGGCGGCGGTGGGCATGAGCAGCGACATTTCTGGGCTCTTTGCTGCGGCTGTGAAGTGAAGTCTTGATCATCTCTTGCACCTCGGACTAGACGGTGCCGGAAGGGGATCGTCAGGCAGTGGATATGGAATCTCAGGTTATCCGGAGAAGCATGAGGTTTTGGCCGTGAGGGAGTATCGATAGATAATTCGGTGTCGGGACGGGTTTGATCGGGAGCTCAGATTGGGTCGGCAGACCGCAATGCCTTGTTGCATTGTGTGTGTGTAGAAGGAGTTATATCGTTGCGTGCCACATCAAATTTGGGGTTGAATCGAGCGGTCCGCTCGGTGGACGGTGAGCGCCATAGAATGTTTCTCGACTCGGTTCCCGGATTTTCTGAAATATGAACATGTTTTTAAAAGAAAAAAACAAGAACAAATTCATATTAGAACATTTACTATAGCTCATCGACGGCACACAGTCTGTGGGGTCCCATCGGGTAAAACCAAACTTGATGGATCCCATCAAGCAAATATGTTCTTGATGGGGTACCATCAAGCAAATATCTCAGGTTTTGCCAGAATGTTAGTTGGTTACAAATAGCTCAAATACTAATGGATAAGAAGAAGAAAAAAAGTATAAGATTGACGCACGAAACAAAGTACGTGCAGCGAGAAGCAAACTGACAGAGGTTTCACATCTTTACGAATGAAGCCAGTTTCTTAACAATAATCAAGACTTCAATATCTATATTCAAAAAAGATTTGCAAATATCACATTGTCAAGTAGAATCTTATAGACTACGCTGATAGGCGAAGATGACCCACTGGATTTTGAGTGACGACTCGTTACACTAAGAACTCGGTATGACTAGAAGTTGTTGCAAAAAATCTTGAAAAAAGAGCATAAGCACTCAACTAAATTTCATGTCAGCTAAACTACTCTGTTAATAGTCTTTTCTTCCATCAAATGATCACTAAGATTCCATTTCTGCTCTCTTAATACTATTGAAGCCACCAAACAATATAGTTCGCGAATAATATTCAACAAAAATTGGATTGTGAATGTCGAGACTGCATGTACACTTGAGCACAGAAAACGGTTGCAGGTTGGATGAAATTGTGATGCTTTACTAAGAAGATGATTATTGTGATTTAAAATTAATCACGACTTTAAAATTGTAAAATTGTGATTTAAAATTAATCGTAAAGATAATCACGACTATGATCGTAGATGGAGGTTACTCTCCTCGATGGTATTTAAATGCCATGTGATTTGTGGTTATATTTTTGTAAACTGATCACGTTGTGTTTATCATTGATGGACGTACTTGACCTTCATAATTGTTCCTTCTAAGGACAATTTGTTGCTTTGAATATCTGAGAGCTGCTAAGGACATTGGACAATGCTACAAGTTTCAATTTCTTTTAAGAAATTTCCCAATTTTTTAAATCAGACATTACGAGGTATAGGAATTGATACATGCACCCAAATAATATGCTCTCCAGTTTTGCCACGTAAAAATATCAGTTTCTTTAACCTTGAAAAAAAGGAATTCAACAGTTGTTTTTTTCCAACTCATCAATGTTCAGTCTCTCCAAAATTTAAGAGGAATGTCACATCTGCTAGAAACATCTAAAATTTCTCAAATGACACGGACAGATGTGAGCTTTGTAGAGTATATTGGAAATGACCTCGTGATAACCAATTCAGGGTCAAGCGTTCATGCAAGTTTTATCCTGCGTCCAGCAGCTATATATCTTCATTTAAATATCAGACCGAAGCAGAGATAACGAGCTCTTCGCCGAAGAGATCAGTGAAGATGTTGGTGACTAATGACGAAATGAAACAAATTAGTGAGTTTCGTAACTACTACGAATCCTAAAAAGACTTGCGAATCTCATACATTATTTAAAGTCTATTTCTTTGTTCCAGAAAACCTGCAGCAGCTCAGGCTTGAAAATTCTGCACAAGTTCAACGAACTACAAGCTAGATTCTTGTGTAAAACGAGTTGACTTTTCGTAGTCTATAGATGCAGGTCTTCGTCATGCAAATCAATTTCGGAGATAGTAAGCTTGTTCAAATTGGGGTCAACGCAAATCTTCCACGTAGTGTAAAGAAATAAATTGGCTGCTCCAACCACTTCATCTCATGCATCTAGCGTCATGCTTTACTCCTCCTAGCTCCTTCATTCACAAGAATAATAGGGTGACAACTTTCTCAAGTCCGTTGTCTAGAACTGCAAAGCTTCAAGTACATGCACAGTTGTGGATGACATCATCGCTGTCTACGTAGTCTATGAACACAGGTATCTGCAGATCACACTCACAAGAAGAAAATGCGCGTGCTATTTACAATATAATATCTGGACCAATGTCACCTGAACAGATTTTGCTGCCGTCAACGAAGTAAGCATGAAGTCATCCACACAGTGGCAGAGTTTGGGCGGCTCTATGTAGGCCTTGTGTGATGTTATAGTAATTACACGACAGATATGCAGAACTGTTTCCTGATTTCAGCCGTGAGAAGAGTAGAATGTGTTGATGGCATCACCAGCTGAGTTGCTTGTCGTTGGTCTAGAGTCTGGCGCCTATGTGAGCCTAGATCAATTGCAGAGCTATGCAGCACGTCCTTTCTGCGGAGCATTAATTAAGCCCTTGACTTTTGGATGAAAGATGCCATCTTTCAGGAAAGGCATAAGGACTTCGCATCGTTCGCAGAATCCCGGACCTTCGAAGAAATGTTGAAGGCGACGACATTCGTTGACCACTTGACCGACTATGCAAGTCTTCAATGCTGACTTTGCACGCCTGTGCTGCAACTTTTTTTGATGTTGTCTGTAGGAAAGAGGATATCGTGTCAACGCACGTAGACCTTCGCGGGCTACTGCTGTACTGTATATGACAATCTGACCCACATTTGACAGCTATGGAGTTGGCAGCAATGTAGGTCACTGACGTGCACAGTTGCACCCACGGGCAACCTCTATGTTTTCAAATATAGAACTATAAATGTGGACGTCTAGCAGTCTTTAGCTGAAGGGCGAATCAGTAGACAAACTGCAATGGAAAAAATCGCTCAAAAAGAAATTATACTTTAATTTCAGTAGATTTTTCAGTCTAAAAAAACATACACACAGCTTTCTAGGGATCAGATTCTCTTCTACTGGTATAGCTTTGTAAATGGAACTCTTTGTCGGGGTTGTTCTAGCCTGCAGTCTTATAATCAGTCAAACCAAGGTATCACGGCGACACTTCCATGCATCGAACTACTGTGGGGCTACCTCAAGATACTAAACTACATTCTCCAGTAACCTGAACGAAGTGGAAGTGGCCGAGCAAGTGGTGTCGAGATTTCATAACATCCAGTAGAGTTATAATCTAGCACTGACGGCTTTTGGGACCTCGAGTCCCAGGGATCAAGATCGATGGGGTGCAGGGGGGCGTTGAGAGTGTGAAGTCGTGAGAGGATCTACAATCGAGACCGGCAGCCGTCCAGCGGTCCCATAAAGATGCCAAGTTGATCGTTCCACAACCCTGTGTTCGGACAACTTCAATCCGATTCACGACATGGCTTTGAAGTTTGACCGCCGTCCACTGAGTAGCATCAGCAGAGTGTGACGACTGCCTCCTCCTGAGTTTAGTGGGCCATGAAGATGCCAAGTTGAGTGCCAAGCCTGTGCTCGAACTGAATCAGTCCAATCTGATCCCGGCCAGGCCTTCGAGAACCTGTGCACTTGATGGCTTGAGCAGAACATGTCCTCGAGCTCGCAACTAAAGTAGACATTGTCATGATTGTGCTTGCCTTTTTGACTGGTCAGCTCCGTGCAAAGTCGTTAGCCGAAACGCGACTTTGCATGTCGACGAGCTCTTATAAAATGCCAGGGTCGAGTGCTTACCTTCACACCAATTCTGCACCATTCGAGCTCGGCACGTCCAAGCCCAAGGAGGCCCCTGGAACCGTCGACGAGCAACTGAATAACAGAATATCGAAAGGATTTGTAAGATTGTACCAATGAACTCGAGAGAGCACTCCAGTGCGCGGGTCCGGGCATGGACGATGGTGGTGCTGGTGCTGGCTTCGGTTTCCAGCCAAGCGTCGGCAGGATTGATAGCTTCTTACTGGGGGCAGAATGGAGGCGAAGGCACCCTGGCCGACGCTTGTGCTTCGTCGAATTATGACATTATCATGCTGGCCTTCCTCTACCGATTCGGCAATGGCCTGACTCCAGCCCTGAACCTGGCAGGACACTGTGACCCGGCCTCAGGCGGATGCCAGGGCTTGGTCTCAGAGATCAACAGCTGCCAGAGCAGAGGAGTCAAGGTGATTTTGTCTCTGGGTGGAGGAGTTGGCGACTATGGATTCAGTTCTGCCGCCGAAGCTCTCGAGCTGGCGCAGTACTTGTGGGATAATTACCTCGGAGGCAGCTCGAGTTCCAGTCCATTGGGCGCAGCCAAGCTCGACGGAATCGACCTGGACATCGAGCAAGGCGGGTCGCAGTACTATCCCGATTTGATCATGGCGCTGAAGACCATGGCGCAGAGCAACGCGTACAAGAGGCTGTACGTAACCGCAGCTCCGCAATGCCCTTTCCCGGATGCGTCTCTGGGTCCGGCAAGCGGCACGGCTCTGAGCACAGGGCTCGTGGATCTCGTGTTCGTGCAGTTCTACAACAACTACTGCGGCTACGGTGGAGGCCTGGATCAGCTGGTGACAGTGTGGCGGCAATGGGCCGGGGCTCTGCCCGGCTCGCAGATCTTTCTGGGCCTTCCCGCATCGCCAGACGCTGCGGGCAGTGGCTATGTCGATCCCAGCACGGTCACCGGCCAGATCATTCCTGCCATCTCCACAGTTCCGAACTATGGCGGTGTCATGTTGTTCAGCGTCTTCTACGACAAGCAGAACAACAACTACAGTGCTCAGATCAAGAGTGGCGTTTAGTGCTCACAAGAGGGTCGTCATCCCAACTTCTGCCATCAATCGAAGTGGTTTGATAGAAGCAAACTTTTGTTCAGGTCTACAGACCAGCAGAATCTTAACAAGGCTCATTTCTGCAGAGATCTTGCGTGGATGCTCGGGGTGATATGAAAATTAGTCATACAATTTACGTAGCGTAAAAAACCCTCTGGATGCAAGCGCGATATTTTGAGAACAAATCCATGCTTGGAGTCCGATCATGAGAAGCTGTACATAACCTTAACACTCAAACGTTGAGTCCAATCTTAAAATGTGAAAGCCTTCAGTGCATCTCAGAATGTGGCCAAATCCTGCTCTAAGGAACTTTGTTCAAGCATATGATATGACTCTTCAGATTTGGACTTGACAAGTACGAGGTTATACCAACGAAGAGTTGGACTTACTTCATGCTTCTAACAGCTGACTCTTAAAGGGAATGAACTCATTGAGGATTGATACACCGGTACACTCCATCGGCAAATATGTTTGCCAGAGATTCGATGGCCTGACACATTTATTTGCTGCCCTTCCGTTATCAATGATCAATATATTCCATACTTTCTGTTCGTGAGGAAGTTTCCAATTCCAGATATATTGCTTATCTTTCGAAGATTACACATGGACGAAAAACAGGCCACGCGAGTGTCTCATTGCAAGTAAACAATTCGAGAGAGTGGATGTCAACTGAGGTCAAACTTACGAAACATACAGAACAAAACTTCGAGGGCAAGGACGTCAACGCGTACAGGCTGTGGTGGGTCTTCAATTTTATCTTAGAAGATTCAGACGGAAGTCACGGCAGATTTGTTTCCAGAGTAGTTCTGTCGGATATCGATTACAGCGAACAGGCATAGCCGAGGAGGCAAGATAAATGTAACCATAGAGACTGTAAGCATACAGAGCTGATTACAAAATTGACTTGCTGTGAATGACAAGATTCATTTGAAGATATCTAAGTATCGCTAGATCTTGATCTCCTCGCACAAGTCCAAGTGTCACCGTGTCCAGCAGCTATTCAGAATAGAGCGCAGTGAACGGAAATGAAGCTGCTTGAGATTTTTCATCAAAACAAAGGAAGGAAGTAGAAGCAGAACTTAAATTCACTGCAGTACTAACCATGCAGATTATCAGTCTTGCCGTGCAGGACAAGTCCAAGGACCAAGTCGCTTATGTGACAAACAAGTCTCAGAGCGAGACAGTTTAATCGGTGTCGGTGCCCAGCCTTGTCAACCCACCGTCTTCGACACTACGGTAGTAGTCCAGCTATGAGACGACTGGCGTGGATGTCTTTCATTATCATGTGTTTAAACTTGTGGTATCAATGTTTTTCGTTTTTTGTATCAATGCTTTAATTATGTGATTGTCCATTGTTCTATACATAACGATATCCATGGGGCCAATCGTTTTTACGTGCTGCTTCATCTGTTTATTTATCTTTGTATAAAATTACCGGTGTAGATGGTTAGTATTTATTGACCCAGATGTACATTCTCAAAATTGGAGCCTAGATTCATTAGACAACTGTCAGAAAACCGCAGAGAACTTTCTCTGCAAGATTTTTCAATTCCTGGACACGTAGCATCTTTTAATCGCAGCGTGTTTCAGACGAGAGGACAGCCGAGCCTAGAAGCCGACGTTCACTTGTCTTTCTTCTGAGCGATTTGGCTCTTTCAATAGACTTGGTGTACAAAAAGACTTGAAATTTTATGCATTTTGTATTCTAAAGTATTGATTGAGACTGCACATAACATATTGAATTGATCATAATCTGATGTTAGAAAGATACTACCAGTACGGTGATTGTATTGCGATCATGTCATGCGAAAATGATCCATTTTATGTATCGGTATTTCTAGCTAAGTTGTTGCATGTCAGCAAAACAATACCATGGTTAATAGTGGACTATTATGTCAGAAGATCCATGGCTAAATATGTAGAATTTGAATGCCAATTGTGATGATGATGTGATGTAATGGTGACGCAATGGTATAAAGTAGTTGGTGTTCATGACAATGATTAATTTCTATGTTATTGTTATGAGTATAATTTACTTTTTAACTTTTAAATGTATAAAGCCAAAATTGTTAGTACATATATACCCAGAAACTATTTTGCAAGAGCTATATTTTCTTTGATATTTAATAAGAAAATAAATAAATGAAATAAAAGCACTGAAATTAATCTTTTATAATATACTCAATGGAGTGCTAGGAAACATAGAATATGAAAACAAAATTATTTTAAATATAAACCTGTTTCATTTCTGTCAATCAATCTTGAGATATACTTACGAGACACTTGACCGTGAAATACTAACATGAATATCAATATTGTTTTCTTATTATGCTATTTGAAAGAAAACTATCATTCTAGTCAAAACTTCTTATATTCAGTGAAAACAAGTTGATATAGATTGTATATATTTTGCATTCTGACACTACTGTTTGTTTGGGTTATTGGTATACGCTTGAGCTGTCTTGCATTCTGTTTACCTGTCTGCTTATAGTTTTGATCCTTTGAACTTTTCTTTACTCAAGGTTCTTGGAAGATCCCTTTCCGGGAAGCGTAGGTTCTGAAAACGTGGAAAGATGAAACTGCCTCAGCCATCGTTGAAATTGCTGCAATGTACAACAGTTCACTTCAAGCTTTTGATGAAACTCCATGAAGGAGAGACCCCCAATTGAGACAACGCAACTGCTGTGGAAGATCCAGAGTGAAAGTAGAACCAAATTTGTAAATTGCGCAATTGCTGAGATGTATACTATCAAGCTCGACTCATGATTGATCGCCAGGCATGAAAGCTTTAAGCGGGGTACACGACTTCCAAACTTTTCAGCGAACCAGCTCTCTGCGCCACTTACCACTTACCACGGCAGTTCTCCAACTTAACACGACGCTCTAGGCGTCAGGTGGAATTTCAACGAGAGGGACGAAACTTGTGAGGGCAGAAGAAGTTCATTCAACGGTGCAATTGAGTGCTGTGATGACTCGAGACAACCTTTGGGAGCGAGTTCAGATCGGACAAGGCAAGGTTAGCATGAGTACTGGGTATTGAATGTCGGTGTTGCTTGATGAACTGTTTCTAGACATTTAATCCGTCGAGGAGTACAGCTGTCTATTCGTCAGTTTCAGATGTCAAGGCACACTCATTTGACCAAGCTCACCGAGTCTCACAAACTCCAGAATTGTATCTAGTGCCAAGGAATGGATCCGTCGCACGAAGATAACTACGAGCGTTGAATGTCGTCAATCGTACAGAGATTGCCACTGTCCTCGTTGTGAAAACAAATCATTCTTTCAGCCATGACTTGCGAAGAATCTTAAAAGGTCTCTTTCACGTGACTACCTGTTGCGTGTGACGTATAAGTAATCGAAGATCCGGGCCTACCTCTTTTTCAGGATGGACAAATCCATTAAGAAATGAAATGATTTGTATCAAGGTTAAAAGAAGTTTAAGGTATGGAACTGCTCGACCAGAAATTCAGACTCATTCTATCTCTAGACATTCGTGAATGCTGTCTACATATTCCCGACAAACCAGTGACATCGATGTGTCAGGTTTTAGAATCATGTATTCACCTTCTGTCTTCCATTTCCGGACTGAACCTCAATGGGTGGTGAATGAAATGCTTTCTTGACAAAGTTCCTCTGTTAGTAGTGTATATGTTGTAGACCACATTATACAACAGCAATTTAGGAACACTGGGTAATCCCAGGCCACGCATCACTCCGTTTCGAGAGACAGTATTGATGATTGCCAACCGATACGAAGAGAACAAGATATTCACAGATACACACTTCCCATGATCATTCTGCCCCTGGAGAATCCACGAAGACCAGGCCAAATCTAATGACCATGATCATAATATGTGACATGACCTTGCAAGCGAAACATTAGATACAATCGACCTAATGCGGATGCCCATATATCTTCAGAGTTCAGGCCACGGGCTCTGCAACAATTCAATTGTTTTCATGCCCAACTGTTTCCATAGCATACTGAGCAATATGAAGAAGGATATCTTGGTAGGTCGATGTACGAGTGCCAGGACAGTACAGCTGACGCAGAGGTTAGATGCTGGGTTCGTGTGGTAAAGGACTGCTCCGAAGCGAGACCTCAACTTCAAGAGTATTACTGGAGCTTTGAGCTGGCTCACAATAGACATCCTCCGTACAATAACACCAGCTTTTCCACGCAGAATTCCTGCTTATTCACTCTACTCTCTATCTCCTTCCTGTCGGTAGCTGCTTGGCAGTGATAAAATACGACTTCAAGCTGGAAATTGGCAACACTTCCCATGAAAGACATAAACTCTTCGAAGCGAAGCGATTGCTTGACAGGGGAGAAAAATGATATTTGTAAAACTTGTATATGTACAAATCAATTTCTTTGACATCAAGGCCAGCATATTTACAGATGAGGTCGAAGAACAGGCTCATATATGGGTCATACCGCCAATAGAAAAGACTTGACTCTAGTTGCCGGTGTACGATGAGATTGCACTGATAATAAACTCATCTATTTGGGCTAAGGCAACTTCAGTCGAGAGAAAGATAAGGAGAACCTGTCATTAGGCACAAGGATCAACAAATGGGCCCACCATTGAGTGCAACCTGCAGAACTGCGGGCTACTGTCCGATCTCTCAAGACTTCCAACCTTCTGCAAAGTAAAAGACGCTGAAACCCCTTGATTCCCATTTTCTGACGGTTTAGGCTGGGAATCTTCGGCACCTTCAATAGACGCACTTCTTGAAACATCTGAGCAACTAATACTAGTCAGACCTGAGGGATTTGGATACTCTATCGACGAACTCAATGACCTTGTTAGCTCTGGTCCATCTGCAGTGCCGACGCCCAAGGAACTGGACCTCCTGTGCAAACTTATATTTCTCCGAAGAGATCCTTGCCTCTGAAGGCCTTCAGCACCTCGATCGGAACAAAATGACTCCAGACGTATAATTCTTCGAGCAGGCTTAGGTTTAGGAGGTGGCAGGCTAGATACGGTCTGCTCTGGCTGCCTGTTCTCGTTTCTATTTTCTTTACAAACATCAACATCTTCGCCTTTATTCACGCTGTTGGGGTCATCGCTATTACTTATCTCGCCACTTGCAGAAGGTCCACTGTCCCTCGAGTGCTTAGAATCAGCATTACCCTCGCTTCGTTTCAGCTCAAAATCTCGAGGTTCATGGACTATGGTGAAGGGATGCCTCACAGAAGGTGGTGGGCTATGATGAAGGCTTTCACTACTGTCCGACAGCTGGGAGTAGGTCGTCTCGCTGCTGGTTTCACTATCGTAGAAGGGTGTGATTTCGGGTTCCAAAGGTAGTTGCAAAAGCTCCCTTTCAAGATCCTGGCGACGGTGTAACAAGTCTTGATTGAATTGAGGAGGAGAAGAAGGTGAGCCAGCTAACATCTTTCCACTAATGAGTTCTTCCGTGAGTCTAAACGTTTCGGCAAGGTTATCTACAAATAGGTCGCCTCCGTCAGAAGGCAGTTGATGTAAACGGTTTCCATCTACAAGAGAGATCCGAAAGTTTTCATCGGCATCCCCGACATAGTTCTCATCTAGTTTCCACGCTGAAAAATATTCTGCGAAAGCCTCTTTGCTCAAGCGTCTGGAGCTGCCTGTAGATCCCCCTTGCGACCGTGTCACCAAATTCTCTTCAGCTCCGTCTTGTTCCTCAATTTGAGTACTGGAGTCAGAATCTCTAGACATAGAGTCAGAGGCGATGAGTCCTTTCTTCAGAGTTCTCTTTCTCCTTCTTCTCTGCCACTGAGTATTCTGCTGATCAACCTCACAATCCTTTTCAACAAGCGAGTTTAGGTACTGAGCCTTCTTCGATGGAGACTCGTTTTCTAGAAGAGTGTTTAGGTCCTTCAACCAGGTGCTTGAACCTTCTCTTCTCAGAGCTTCAGCTTGATGCATAAGATCCAACACAGTCTCTTCTATGTGTTCCTTGTCCTCCGGAGTATCTTGCACACCACTATCTGAGTCCACACTTCCCTGTTTCGAACCATCACCTGCTCTCGATGGAGCTAAGTGTCCACTTAAATCCTGAATCGATGCTAGCCGGGAATACCGTTTCTGCACAGTGGTCAACAGTGATTCATAGCTAAGAAAAGTGAAGGCTGTAATGCCTTGCTGTCTCCTAATCACATACATGATAGGAGCTGACATGAGACGACCTCCAAATACGAGGAGATGTAAACTTTAGGTATGAAACTCGATTCTAGATAAGCAGAGTTTCAACTTGATCACTAACGTATTAAGCTTCGCATAAAGTCCAGGACACGGGAGGAAACTCAAGGGAGCGAAAAACTGTTCGGTAGCAAAACTTGCATATCCAACAATCCTACTCATTTCAAGTTCCTTGAGAAAAAGACACACAGCACGAGACATGCACAAGGATCCTCACCCTAGCTTTCGCCACAGGACCATGACCATTATTTACACTCGTCGTACTAGTATCTGAAACGTCGCCAGAGTCACTGATGGTAAGTGACATCGTGGATGCCTCAGGAGTCTGAGCAGGCGTGAACGCTCCATATTTAGAGCGCTGCTTTTGTCGATTAATAACAATCTTTCTGACAGCCCAAACCTCCCTCCTGCCTGTATGCCTTCCATCCAGAACTACCTGCGTAGTTATGCATGACAACTGAAGTGAGTGCGCGTTAAGACAAAGGGTCAAACATTTACAGGCCAAACTTGAACCATATGAGTGACAGCCCCAGCGTCATAGATAATTGCCTGGCAGAGATATACCGGGGCTTGAAAAGCTAGGAAAGTGAAGGTTTGAAAAAACACACCTTTTTCGGATCATTAAAATAGCTCAGGGCTTCTTTCCGATAGTGGTGGGAGAATGTGATAGGATTGCCGACAAACCACAAGGAGTAAAGGCACGGCAACTGATTGAGCAACTCAACCTCCCGAAAGTTTGAGATCAAATTGTGTGAGAGATCAAGGGCCTCTAAGGAGGCAATCCTCTCTAATCCCCTTAAGCTCACCAGCGCATTATTTCGTAACACCAGCTTCGTAACTCCGAGTAGTATCTGAAATAGACAAAAGGAGCAAGTCAATAGCATTAACAGATCATGCAACTCCGTAAGGATCTCAACGCTTCACAGATGTGCTCGTAGCTGCTATCTGGAAGAAAACATTCCACAGGAAATAAGGATAAATAAAAGAAAGCTTTCTGCTGTGAGTTCCCTAGTCTCACTAGTCTCTTCAGTCGTTCATCTCATTTTGCGTGGTACTTGGGTTTCCCTTTGAGCGAAGCCAGCGTATTCGACATTACCTGATGTAAATTGACGACACTCGTGATGTGATTGAATCCAACATCCAAAAACTTCAAATTCGAGCACTTCTGCATATTGGCAACCTTAGCGAACCGGTTTCTACTCAAATCAAGTGCCTCCACGACAGGAAGAAGCTGCAATGACTCGTCCATGAGCAGCATCCCGTTTCCTGAACATGATATTGATGACAAGCGGCTCCAAACTTGCGCACCTTGAATTTCAGCTGTGCGCCCCGCGAATATATGCTTCAAAGCGTCCTGAAGGCAAGACACAACAACTCAGAAACACGCATGCTGCGTCAACACACTGCCCATGGGACTGTAAACTCTTTCATGGGCCCGTTTGGAAATACTAATTGATTTCTAGAGACAGAGGTCAAACCTTGCACCACTATCGGTCTCAAGATCCAAAACAGACACCTCGAGACACTTGACAATTAATTAAACGCCTCATGTGGCCTTGCTAAATGCTGGTAAACACAGCAAGATCCTACTTGAGGTTGTTGGCCGGTGGGGGGTTTGCGAAGCTTCGAATTTCTTTGACAACTTCGTCTTCTTTATACAAGACCATTCAATGCCATCACAGAGAAGGACAGATGTGGATGAAGTATTGCTCACGGCAGAATTGTAGCAAATCAGTTTCTCCAAAATCGGCCGTAATTCGAGCAATCCACGGGCAGAAGAAGTGGAAAGATCACAGCCTCTGAGCTCCAGACATCTGAGGCGCGCGAATGGGAGCAGGGTGATTGGTGAGGGATCCCTAGCAGGGCTCGGGAGCATGGACACCACCTTCACCGACCCCAGCAATCTTAGCACTCGCCTGAGCTGCTCTAGCGCTCTGTGATCCCCCAGATCTGCAACATAAGCTCTCAAATAATCTACAGGTGCCCCTGCTCTCAAGGCTTCCAGTTCATGAAGTTGATCCAGCCTCGTCTGCACGTAGTGCAATCCCACCGGATTCAGCTTCAGCACCAAACTGCCATCCAGCAACGACCCGGCGTGTGCTTCGATGAAGCGTGCCAGAAGATCCAAATACCTGTCACCCGTGACCACTGCCATCCCTCCTGCTCCTGCTCCTGCTCCTCCTCCTCCTCGTATTCTCCCGCTAGCTTGCTCTTCCTGCCGTAGCCTCTCCCTCCGTCCTCCTCATCCTCGGCCCCTGCTACTGCTGCTGCTGCTTCTACACTCTGCTTGGCACTATGCACCGGACCGTGACCCTCTGCCCTCCTCGCACCCACCATCCCTTCATTTCTTTATTTCTCCGGAGCGCCGAGAACGCTCAATGTCTGCTGCTGCTGCTGCCAGTCGCTTCTTCTTCTCCGCCCCCTCCCTCCCTCCACTTGGTCTCCCACTTTCTACACTTTCTACACTTTCTCGTCTAGAGACTGCGGCCTTCAATGCGCCGTGACCACGTAGGGGCAGCGGAATTTCGTCTGCGTTTCATCATTCGGCAGCTCCTCAAACCTGCCGACACTTGGACACACCCTTTCTCGTCGTCGTCGTCCTCCTCGGCCTAAAAAAACAAAATTCAAGCACTCAAAGAATCAAGCCATCCAGCAATCAATCAATCAATCAATCTGTCAAGCAACCCACCCGTCCCTCCATGCACGCACGCACGCAAGCCAATCAAGCAAGCGAGCGAGCAAGCAAGCTCGCTACTCCCTCCCTCCGTCTCACCCACTCTGCTGCTGCTGCTGCTTCTTCTTCTTCGGCGGCTGCTGCCCCAAATTCCTCTCCCGCCCCCCGACCTCCCTCCAATCCTCCATCACTTCCACGGCGTCTCTTCCTCTCTTCCTTCCTTCCTCCACTTTTCTCATTCCTTGCCGGGCATGGGATCGAGTCCGAGATCCGACATTCATTCACATTCAAACGTATGACAGCATGCCTCCACCGGCTGGCCTGGTGCCTCGGTCGGCCGTGTCTGATTCTCGCCTCATCCGCCCCCCCTCGGCCACCGTAGCAAACTGGCACCTGCTGCTTCCTCTTCCCCCCACTTCTCTCTCTCTCTCCCGCTGCTCCCGCTGGTGCTTCGTGTCCCTATTTCGACCCTCACTATTTGCTACTGGTTGCCCTCCCTTCTGATGCCTGCAGGTCCCGTCACTGCCTCTCGTCGGCAGTGACCGGCTTCAGAATCCGCGGGGACCGTTAAACTCGGGCCGAATTTGGAGGCTGCTGTGGAGGTCGGGCCAGGATCGGGGTTCGGCTCCGTGGGTTGGTATGGGCGGGATCTGGGCCCAGGACAGCATGTGCGCCGGAGGAGCCGGGCTGAGGACAGCACACTGTCAATGTCAGGCCCCGGCTATTAAAGGCAGATTATTCCTGCGTATGCCCAAATTCCGCTCGGCCTTTTAATCTTTTAATGTTCCCTCGCAGTCCGATAGCCGACGGTCGTCGAGCATAGGAGATGAGATCTGCGCCGTACACTTGGATGCCCGAGGGCGATGGAGGCTTTGCTGGCAGGATTGCCTGGCCGTACAATGATGCTCGGCACTGGAGCGACGATGCTATCCACCTCGCGGTGGGAGGCGGAGATGAAGTTGGTCGTTGGGATTGAGATCCGAACTGCGTAAATCTGTACGCAGTTCATCCTTCGTCCCGTGTCCGTGTGCTTCAGGCTCCTCCTGCTGCTCCTCGCCCTCATTCATCTGCATCGAAGCTGTCGTCGCCCTCACGGCCAGGGCTCAATCCACCGAGTTGCAGCAGATATGGATCGAATGCGAGCTATGGAAGTGACGTCACCTGGTTCATGAGCCCGATGCGAAGAAGAGCAGGGACGAGCTTTTTGGGGGTTTTCTCTCCGCAGGAAGGGGGCTAGTTTGTGATGCACGGATTCAAGTTTTGGAAGCTGGGGATTCTGGAGTGAGTGTGCGAATCACGGATCGCTGAGCCGCGGTGAAGAGGACGGGGGAGATGGAGCTGTGAAGTCGTAGGGACGGGGACATTGGTTGAGCCTTTGAATATGTTCGCGATGGTGGTGAGAGGATGGGGTGGTGGGGGTTTGGGGGTTTGGGCCGGAGAGAGACCTGTCGTTCAGAGGATTATGCAACAGGAGGTTGTGAAAGTGCTGCCATGGTCAGGATCCGGCGCTCGGTTGAGGAAAGAGGTGGGAACTGCAGAGGCTTGCACTGCAAGAGTTGCTGCTTCCCTCGTTGCCTGTGCTTTGATTTACCAAAACAGCATTGAAGTCGCCTCGGCAGCTGCTCTCTACTGGGCTTGGGCTCCCATTTGGAGCACTGTCCTGTCAAATTCTCTTCTGCGGCTTCGTTACCGGTATGCTGGTGCGCTTTTTTCGTCTTAACTCGACAGATTCTACCCTTCCTTGTCTTACAGTAGTTTGGATTCCAACTACGAAAGCGGTAAAACTGCCCAACTGTCGATAGTCATAGTTTGAAGTATGCACGATGCTGCCACTTCAATCGGATTTGAAGGATCACCTCCTTTTGTAATCCTCGTTTAGGTGTTCTTTAAACTTAGAGATCAATCTCGAATTTCGTGAAGAACGTTCCGAGTTTTCCATCTCTCATCTCGAGTTTTCCTGACAATTTATCGCCACGTTTACTCCCATTCTCGGCCCCTTCTTGAGATTTAAGCAATAATTAGCACTCTAAATATGCTCTAGTCTTGATTCTGAACAAATGTCATTGCCATGTAGCTTTACATATGCTTGATTTCTTCGAGTTAACTTAAATACTGGATGAAACTGTAGTTGCTCAGGATCTACGACGAGGGCAATGACTTTGAGAGGAGGTGTGCAAGAGCTGTTTGATGAATACAAACCAGTACAATGCCACTGATGGGGTACTTTATTGGCGAAATTCCAGGTATATGGAGAGCGCGAGTACTCGAGGTGCAGGTACTTCCTCCTCTTGAATCAAAAGAGGATAGCGGGGATCTTTTGGGAAGTATTTTCAACAAACTGCCAGTGGTTTATCCGACCTTGCAGCTTTTGATTGGAGACAATAGTCCAGCAACTTTTCAGGTGTGATAACCAGCTTGGCGAGATCAATATCCTGTTGTTAATCCTGAAGATTAGTTCAGTTGGTCTGCAGTTGATTCAGCTTTGCTGTAAATTTTAACCAAGCCCATGCTCCCAGTGTTTTGAAAGCTCTGTGTGTCTCACAAGCCTATCCACAATATTGTTCATTCATGGAAATTTGTCAACAGGAATCCAGTGTTGCGTATCACCTCTGTATCTTGCCGCTGGTTCTAGTAAAGCTGTTTAGATCGAGTGCTTCTATACAGATTCATCATGCTTCCTTGGAGAGCAAGGATTGAGTGGAACTATGGGAGCTCAGAGCTGTCAAGAGAGAGCTGATAGAGGAGCTCCTAAGACTGCATTTTCTCTAAAACTGAAGATTGGTATTCGTCATTGATTTTTGACATTGATTGGATGCAGATGGATGTTGTCATGACAGAGGAAATTCCTAGGGTGAAAGTTGGAGAACGTGTGGAGGTGTTGGTTATGTCCGACAGACCATCGTTATCCCGTTTTAAGGCTTTGCGGGATGTTTATCTCCCGGACAGGGATGTCTGGATTTCGGAGGAACCTTACATCGAAAGGGAATGTTTTGAACGTTTGCTAAGAAACACACCTGCGCCTGTTGTACGAGATAATCAGGTGATTTCGAATGCTCGTCTGCCACCTAGTGTGACATATGCTTTAGTTCTCGTGAGATCACTGTTTTAACCTGGCTAGTCACCCATTAGGGGAGAATCTGTTGCGATTCAAGTGCTTGCTGATTAATTCGTTCGACGACCGGATCGTAAGGCACTTCATCGTTGTCATGGCAGATACCTTTGAGATTTGTTAGGCAACTACCACAAGCCACTGTCGAGATCTGATGTTTATTTGAATCTAAATGAGCTTGCAGGGAAGAGCTGATGTCGGACGTCGAAAACTTTATCTGGAAGAAAATTCTACAAATAGAAACAGTTCGAAGTGGGGGAAGGCTGTGAAAAGCCGTGCTCCGGAGAAGCAGTCAAGACTGTTTGCGGCTGACGAGTTTGAGATGGACTACCAAGATGATAAGATAACCGATCCCCCTGAAGATATGGAACCTTCAAGATCAGTTGGAACTAAGGAACAGTTTGAGAGAGAGAGACGAGCCCAGAAAGTGGATGAAAAAGACTTGTACTTGTGACGTGAAAATCATTTCAAATTTTAGCCGCTGGGGAAGTCGAGGACCATGTGTCTAGATGGTGGATGCTTGGAAGAGCATCATGTAGATCCGCACTCGTTGGAGTGCGGATCTACATGTCCGTGGTCATCAATGAACACAATATATGTTCAGAGCCATAAATGATAATCCGTGACGCTCACGGATAGAGTAGAATTCAGTTGTGAATACCATTCCATACGTTCCTATGTTTCCAGTTTCTGTCTATCTCTAGACATCAAATGGGAATGCCCGTCAGCAGCAAGGGCTGCGTCGAGAAGATGCAACCCTTGTCCTGTTGTTGATTGAGTTTCAAAATACTCTGATTACTTTCGGAACGGTAGGATGAGAGCATAATGAACTCTTAAATTTATTCTAAATTCTGAAGTCTTACCATTTAGACATATACTGCTTCTCGGAATGAAATCGAACTCTTCCAATATTTGATTTATGTACATAGATTGAAATGTCAAGTATCGGAAAACATCGATAGCCTAAAAAATTTGAATATATCAGTTCCATTGATGAATTAGCCGGATTCCGGGATTTGCATATCGTGTCTCCTAGGTACACATGTAAGATTTCCTCAAGCTCAACATACAATGAGTCGCTCATCAAAGGTATTGGCGATCAAAATGTCCTTAATGTTGCTGGTCTTGTTCGGTCTTGTAATGTCATGTACAATCCTTCTTAGTTACATAAAGTGTATTTTAGTGAAGGCATAGCATGCAATATCATATGTAATCTAAGTTCTGGCGATTTTGTGAGTCCGTCTTCAGTCTTCTGTACTCGAAACTCTTAGCTAATGCTCTTTGAACATCAAGAAGCCAAAACATTACAAAAGGCTGAAGTAAGAACCCTAAGCCTGCGCTGCAGCTGCATTTACGAAGTTTGTTGAAGTTTTGAGCTTCTATATATTCGAAGGACCCGGCTGACCTTTTAACACTGGGACCTTCCACGTGCCTCGAGGGATTCCCCTCCAGCCAACGTGAGCTATTTCCTCAGATAGTGCAAGTCATAGGAACTGAATCACCCTCTCAAGAACTGGAAAACTCTGACCACGTTAACTCTGACCTGGATACACTTCGTTTGCAATCTGCCCCCTATATGTCTCTCCGTCCCACGCTTGTCATCTCAAAGGCATCGTCACAATTTGTTTGAGAAGATAAGAGCCTGGTGAAGCCTGTTATCAAGTAGACCATTGAGTCGTATTGACGACATGCAATCTTTCGGACTTTGGAGAATTTCCGGACTAAAGCGTTGAACAATGCGGTTCGTCGAGAAAATGACTGTACCATGCTCGTAAATTCAATTTCGCATGTCAGCAATTGAGCTTTTTGGAGGGACATCGTCAATTTGCTCGGAGACAGTCAAGAATTGGAAGCAGACTTACGTTCCTGTCAAGTGTAAGGGTGGCAAATCGCCTCATCAAATCTCGTTCTATGATTCAACAGAAAACTTTCACCCACGTGGATGCTTTTCAGATAAACTCACACAGCCCATTACCATGCCTAAGCTGCAAGTGTGTAGATGTCCTGATCAGAGTGTTAATAGCACCGTGTAAAGTGGAAAGGCCTTCTGATTTGTCGTTATGTGCTTCGCCATGTACACCTTGTGGCAATCTTGTGTCTTCATTTACTTGACCTGCTAGTGATCGTTATCTAGCCTCCCTTTGCTGTTACAATGCTTCAAAAACAAAATAAAAAAAGGAACAATTTCAAACGAAGACCTTCTTCGTAGTGTTTCTCTCATGCCTGACTGCTGAATGCTCGAAAATAAGAACTGACACCTTGATGAAAGCTATGCGTAGGAGAGTGATCTATCTCCACCCAACAGCTGAAACCTCCCTATCGAAGGATGACGTCTTGCGCACTCCTTTCAAAGGAGGGAAGGCGGCTGATTGAATCCAATCAACGTGCCAACTCATGTTGCTGACAACACGAAGGCGCGGACCCAAAACTTCAGCTGTCTGATTTGAACGATGCAGATTGTACAACCAAAATTGCCAAAGAGGCGTTTCATGCAAATTACAGTGACGATACTTGTGGTAAATTTTCATTGACGCTAATATTTCATGAAATCTGGCATCTTCAACTGGATGACAACGCACCTTCTTCGAGCCAGTTTTGTATGGCGGTCACGCCAAAGTCTCCAAAGCTTTGCAAAGCCATCTTCTGCTGACTTCAGTGGTTCAGTTGTGATTGATGAGGCAGTCGTCGACGCCAGTGCTCAATGTTAGATACCAACCCACAGCTAGCCTTGCCAATGAGACTGAATAACATCTCAACTAATTAATCCTCCATAGTCCGTCTCGCAACTGAAGTCGCCGTCATTACAAACAAATAGTACTGTACTCATAATCATTCGTTTGCTTGAAAACGAACATGAAACTCTAATATCTCATAAGTTCTCTTTCCTCCTAATTTGATTGTTCTTGAAAGTACGAGTCATGGGCTCAAAGGTGGATCTGAGCTAACCCTGGAATATTTTCACCTCACTCTTACGTATATCTGTGCGAAGTTTGACATGAATGTATGTCCAACTTGGACATATAACTGAATGGGACCTTGCTTTCAGGACCAGTTTGGCAGAGTAGAGTTCGAGTAGAAGTTTAAGACCGTCTCTTGTCGTCTCTAGATGCTGTCAACGTCTTAATCGTTCCATGCAGCCCAGATTTATCCTCCTCCCTTGATGAATGACAATATATATAAATATATATTGTCATTCATCAACAATTTTCTGTGAAACTTGTTCAATTTTTCAAAACTATCACATGAATGAAAGATTCATCTCAGTGGTGCATGAGATTCTTGAAGAGATGAAGCATTGTGAAACGATTATGTTGATCTTCTAACATGCAACGATTACTAGAAATTAAGAGAAGATATTTTCATTCATACTATTATAATGCTCGCGCATTTTCAGCTTCATAAGATTATTTTTGGAAGATAAAGTAGCCAGCATTTTTTACAACACTTGATAGTTACAACATTCCCATATTCTAACACATACATTATGGGAGAAAATATCATAAACGAAGTCTTAAAATGGATGAATAACCATCTTCTTTGGTGAACTGCTAGAGGATTTTGAAACTTCAGAAGTATATTTCTCTCAATATACACATATACAGAAGGTTCATATTTTCCAATTCTAGCCTTGAATTTTAAAAAAATAATGTTTGTGAATGAGTATGTAAGAGCCTATTTCATTATCAAGAATTTTAGTTTAAAAAACAGATTGAAAAAAATATTCAACCTTTAATAGCTTGAATTTTTTTTCTGCTCTATTATTTTTTGTAAATACTAAATTGAGAATCATTTTTCTAAAATTAGCATATTTTTTTTACTAATTTTTTTGGGGTGAGTAATTTTAAAATAATCACAGTAACGTGTTTGCGTTCAACCCAGATTCAAAAACCGTAGTAAAACACAAAAAATCAAACACGATGAGTCGAGATACCAATATTATGTAATTCGCCACAAAAGGCTACGTCCAGGGACCAATATAATGTGATTCACCACAAAAGTCTAAGTCCAGGGAGAACTCAAGCGTGAAAGAGAGAGTGTACTAAGTGTTTTGGTAATACACAAACCCTAGGGTTAAATACCCAAGAGCACCGGCAACACTACTAGCTATAAATAGCTAGGACATGAGTTTATTAATTAACCCAAGTTAACCTCAACATATTAGACGTAATTCATTGTCAATTTCAAAAGTTTGAAATTAAGAGGATAATAGACTTAATCATACCCTAAAATTCGGTTTTGTGTGTCAAGAAGCTGAGTTGAAAGAACTGCTTGAGATTGAGTACATTATAAATATACAAGCAGGAATAATATTATACTCAGTTTACTGCTTAGCCAGTTTAAGTCAACTTGTTTTGATTATTCTGAGGAGGCATATTATATATAAACATAAGAGAAAAAGTATCCTAGATAATTTGGCATTCGCTGAAATTGTTATTCATTAAGTACGTGGAGTATACATCTTAAATATTTACGTTTTTGTGGCACATACTTTCACTTGCTACGCTGTTGGGAACTATTCCTTGTTTTCTAGTTTTGTGTTTCTAAGTGAACAAATCGATGGAAAAATTGCCAGCTTTATGATCTTTCTAGTGCTTCGAAATGATCATCCTTATTATCTTATAATTTTTTTTGGATTTTTATCTACTAAATAAATATTCATAGAAACTATTTCAATCTTCAATTGGTATGATTCCAAGACTGGACTTTCAGGTAATTTTATTTCAGTGAATAAATTTTTTTTGTTAGAAGATATGAAATTTTAGAAATTCCAATCGTATGACTAAAACGTCTATTATTTTGAACGTTAATATTTCAATTTCTTGAACTTCCCTTTAAGTTTTAAACGCAGTGAGGGTAATAGAACGACATTTTGAGAAGTAACTCACGTCAAGCTGCAATGTTGCATGCAGGTGCTTGAACGTCAAAACATTTAACTTCTATAAAGTTGAGTCTTGAATACACTTACTGATTCTATGAAGAAGGTGATTCTAAAAGTATTATTGCATGAAAGGAGATTTAATCATTTATGATGGATTCTTTGCAATACTTTCAAACCTGACATGTTTCAGTTTTTGTCCCTTACATATGCGAGTGTCATGAAATATTTCGGCTATAAAATATTTGTATGAATTTTGAACTTTAAGTTGTGATTTAGCATCAAAAGCACCTGAACAAAAGGTAATTTTTCCTGAATACACATCCCAGTTATAGTTTGCAACTGTGAAAATAAGATCGAACATTTAAAATGATTAAGTGTACATCTAGCTACTGCGATCTATCTAATAATTTTGCAACTTCGAGATAATGAACAAGTTTACATCGTATACACAGTACAAGATTGAAAACTAAGACCTACTAATAGAAAGCTATACGCTACGGAAGCAAGGAAGATAATATGAAGAGTTCGCGGAGGTCTCTTGCAATAGAAGTAATAGTTCCTAAATATTCATGTCTTGGTGTGCATTATTTGTACCATAAGACACGAGATCCTTGTGTTGGGCATACATTCTCACATGCAACTCAGATCAAGGAAGGTCATCTCGCCGTACTGCACTCGTTTCTCATTACAATGGCCACTCAGATACACCAACTGCAGTTATTCCCACATGCTTAAGTCTTTAGTTTATGAAGACGGAAGATTTATCGTCGCAGCTCGTAGTCATTTACATTCAAGGAAGTCCATATTCTCTGGCTCCATAGTTTTGCTCATAATCACTACACTGATAAACATTTATAATCCTAATCTGCACCCTTTCCAGGAGATCTCGAGGAGGACTGGATCTCCATCCTTTCAGTACAAGCGTTACATGACGATTGTCTCGATGATTTGATGCGATGACTCTGCCGAGAGCCTCCTGTAGTCGAAGGATGTTGACCAAGCGAGTGGCTTTACAGGATGCACAGGAGCACCAATTTAGTATCACCAGCTTCGACTGACGTTGGATACTGTTTCCTTTGTCCTCTATGTTTGCTGTGTCAACCGCAAAATGGCAAGGAATACGTGTGAGCTGAGCTTAATGTTTCAGTAATACAGGGGTCTTTCGATCCAAAGGATCGAAGGAATGAATTTCTACGTCTTCATCAACGAACTCAGCAGACAGTGTCTGCAAATCCACCTACCGTTGATAGGTCTCGTTCATAACATTCGCGAGTGCAACTTTTCGCATTTAATCATTCCCACTTAACGTATGCTTGGTGGAGGGCGGCCATAACTCCTGTCTCATTGGTTATGCTTCTGGCTAACTCAATCATAACAAAAACAAAACTTTAATGATCATTTTTCGAAATACAGTTCTAAAGACTATTCTATCAAATAAGTTAGAAGTTTGATACTGATCCTGATCAGTGATCATACAAGATCATTTGAGTACAACACTTGTGTCAGACTGCATTTCTGGCTTCCCAGTGATCGAATTTCAGTTTGACCTTTCGCAGTCCAGTCCCAAACGGTGAAACCACAATAGCATGAGCGAATTCCGGGTTTGTACTCCAGGATGTGCAGGTCAGTCAGCTAATCGAGAAACAAATATAACAGATTTTGTGTACTCAGAAGAAAAAACTTTTCTCGACGGCCATAACTCGTTGGAACGATTTTGTCGTAACAATTGCAACGCTCTGTTTTCGTAGCGCTCTTAGTAGCACTTATATCCTGTCCAACCGAGGTACCTGAGTATTTAATGATCCTTCGAAGAATAGAATGGGAATTGTAAATCCCTGCCCACCCGCCGTCGTGGGTAATGCCCATGGTATCTGGAGACCCGTACACACGAAAGCATGCATGGGCGGTTCGTCCCCCGCCCCTGTCGAGACAGTAGTGGGTGGTACGCGCAAGCAAGCGGCTGCACTGAAGCGGCGAAAGTTGTCAGCCTGCCAACCTGCATCCACGGCCATGGTGATGGTCGATCGAAATGCTGCTCCACTTTACGGAACTCGATGAAACTCTGCCTTAAACAAGTGCGTACGTTTCTCCTTGTTAGAATACTGATTACTCCCTATTCCTTCTACGCTGCTTCTTGTGTAATCATTGTTAGACTGCAGCCCACTACGCCACTACCCCACTACTATTGAGGTGTCCTTGTCATCATTAGACACCACTACCCTTCCCACTACGCGGGTGTAAATACCAGTTTACGTTGTCACCTCGGATTGGGTACTTAAACCTAATCCAGGTCCTATGTATAACATAACTAAGATCTGCTCTCCAGTACTCATTATCTGTGTCTCTCGACTCTTTCTTGTATTGCCTCACTTCTGTTATGGTATCAGAGCGTTAGGGTTTAGAGTTCAGAGTTTGAAGATTTGTTCTTTGAAGATTCACTTCGGCAGAACGTGAAGCTCAGCACAGAGTATAGTTCGAGTTCAGGGAGATGACTTCTCCTGGGGTTTCAACCCGGTTCGCATGGAAAGAGCTCCCCCTCCCCAAATTCAGTGGGGAACATTTCCATGCATGGAAGGGGAAAATTAGTTTAATCCTTCAACTGGAAGGACTAATGGACATCATGGAAGGGGTCGAAGTCAGGCCAAGCACTCCACCGGGGTCTACAACAAGAACTCCAGAGTCAGGCGCTGGCAGTAAACAAGAATGGGATGTCAAAAATCTCATGGCCTTGGCGGTGTTAAGTAACTCGTTGGAAGACCATCAACATCCATTGATCGCACGTCATTCTACAGCTGCAGAGGCATGGGCAGAACTGAATGCATTTTTTGATTCCCATGATGTACCAATGCAGATGCATTTGAAAGATTCATTGCATTCTCTCAAGATGAAGTCAGCCGAGTCTGTAGCGAAACATATCTCAAAGTTTCGTCTACTTCTTCACCAGTTGTCATCTATAGGGCAGAACGTTCCAGAGGCAGAAGCTTACACCTGTCTCCTTCGAAGTCTACCCATTGAGTATAGATCCTTTGTGCGCTCCATGAGGACACAGCAAAATTTGACCACCCAATCTGTTATTGCTGGTGTTCTTCTTGAGGAATCACACCTTCAAGAAGAGGAAGAGTTGACAGAAGGTATGGCAGCACTCTACACAGCAAAGAAACGAGGAGGGGCGCCAAATATGATGCATCCAAGACACTTCACTGAGTCAGGTCCTTCATCGCGACCAGAACCTCCTGCCAAGACATCTTTTCCCAGGCAAAAGATGAAATGTTTCTACTGCAAGAAGAAAGGTCATCTTGCCAGCGAGTGCAGGAAGAAGAAACACGACAATGCTTCTTCACATTCTACACCAAACGAACACCAACGACTGTATGTCACTGCTCTAACATCCATTGGGATGGATCCAGCCTGGTATGTAGATTCTGGTGCAACTCAACACATGGCATACAACAGAAATGCTTTTGTGACATATACTGAACTTCCATCGAAGGAGTTTGTATATCTGGGCGATGATAGTCGCCAACTCATTCAGGGAAAAGGTAATGTCCTCATTTCTTTGAATGATGGACAAGAACGGCTAATACCTAAAGTGTTACACGTTCCTGGTCTCCACAAGAATCTCTTTTCCATTCATCAGCTTGTTCAGCAAGGAGGGAGTCTACTCATTGAATCAGATCGATGCATCTTGAAGGGGAAGAAAGGTAACGTCATTGCTGAATGCATCAATGACAACAACCTGTTTAGGCTTGGAACTACTTCTTTCAATACATCTGCAGTTCCTGCAAAGGTTTGTTATTCGGCTTCCAACACCGAAGAACTGGACACCTACCAATGGCTCGGCCATTGTAATAACCCACCAAAGGCTAAAACTGCAGTATGGTGGTAAAAAGATCGAACCCACAGGGACAGAGGCAACACACAGAGTAAAAGTGTCACGTTTAACAGACTTTTGTAGAGTTTGGATTCTAGGCGACTGTCACTCCCAGAAATACTGCAGTGCTCGACTCGGAGGCTCGACTCGGAGGAGGATCTCAACTCGGAGGATGCTCGGAGGATGCACGGTACAGCTTGGTCACTCAACCCACACACACACACACCTGAAACTGGCAAAAAGCACAACTCGGAGGTCGGTCAGGACCTCCGCTTCGGATTTCAGGGGGAAAGTGTCTCGTAAGTTCACTCAGAGGTTCTGCAGGAAGTGCCTCCCACTCCGGCTTTTACTGCCCTTCCGCCAGGAACTAGCGGGGGTACCCGGACTGGACTTCTCACTTCGGAACGAAGCCTCTACGTACGCCGTGGACGTCACCCTCGACTATCACACAAAACGCAGGGAGTGCAGACCCGACTGAGAACTTACTGAAAACACGATCCAGTAACACACACACAACCTGAATTACAAACCAAGGTTTACACGAAGTAATGAAACTTCACATTGGCATTCAGGGGAAACTTCCCGTAGGAGTACAATCAGGATATGTCACTCGAAGGAGTAAGGGGGAACTGTTCAAGTCTCTAACTCGCAGCCGGCTCTGAGCATCAGAAATCACCCGCAAGTGCAGATCCGCACTACTCAAGTCTCTAACCGGGTGCGAGCTCTGAACATTCAGCCGAAGGCCTTCAACTACAACATACGGTAACTTCGCTATGCTGCAGCTTCTCTACGTGGTGCCAGGACCAAAATGCACAAACACGCCAAGAAAGTGAGTTCCTGATCTGCACTTCCGAAACTGGAAGAGTCCCAAGGCAAAACGCCTTGATCTACTTTATACTCTCAAAAGATCCTAACTAGCACTACGCTATCCTATCTACCACTCGCAGCATCTGCGCGAAACCAAACTACTCTACTGCACTCAGCAGATCCGGTGCTGCGCCTCCTGCGCGCCGGACTGCTCCGCTTACTATCTCTACCTTGCCAGTCTTCCGACCGGCTGCGTAACCCCAGGCGTCGGAGCGCTGCAGTGACTTCCGACTGCAAGTGCTCCATAGTGTCGCGCGCACCCGACAAGAAAGTTTCTAATTTTCTCGCCACTCGCCGCCGACTCCGACTGTCACCTTCCGTCAAGGCCGCCGCCCGAAGCTCGAACTCCCGGAGTGTAACCCTCTCTTGAGCTGCCACCTCCCAATGGGTGTATCCGTTTAGACAACGAGTCACCCGTGCCGCCAACTCTCCTCGTGCCCTGCAGCTGCTCTCCACCTCTGCCAGCTGCATTTCTAATTCCGCACGTTGTGCCCTCAAATCCGAGCACTCGGTTTGCAAGTTGCGCAACAACTCCTCATCCTCCTTGCGGGCTCTTTGACTTTCTTCTAAGGCGCGCGTCTGGCGCGCAAGCTCGGCTGCTAGGACTTTGTTCTGTCTCCGCTCCTCCTGCAAGTCCGACTCGATCTTTGCCCGTATTAGTTCGGCCTCCGCCTGACTCTTCGTCGCCGCATCCTCCTTCTGCTGCTGCAAGGCTTGGTATAGCTTCTGGGTGACCGCCAGGTGTTGTCGGAGGGCGGTGTTCCTATCCACATATACTCCGCACCTAGAGGCCCACCTTGCCACCTTGCTCCTCGTCCTTCGCCTGATTGTCTCCACATAAGACTGCGGTTTTAAGGCACTTGCGTATTTGGATGTCTTGCGATCTAGATATCGCAGGAGTGGAACTATCTGTTCGCACAGCACCCCTGTTGGCGTTTTCTGCACCGAATCCTCTTCTTGCTCTTCCGAGCTCGTCTCATCCTCAGTCTCGAGGATCTCAGTCGCCACCGAATCCCTTGGCGACTCCCTGGAACTGTGGCGCGCAGCAGCTTCCGCTGCGACTGCTGCTCCACTGCCTGCTAAAATATCCAGGGCAGTGGGAGATCCCACTGCTTGAGCCCCTGTTCCGGCTTGATCTTCGGTTTGTGAAGGGGTCGACGCCGCAGTGACTTTTGTCACTCTTGATCCGCCCGCTTCTGCTGCCTGTCCTTCCGGCGCAATCTGCGCGGAAGGTGTCCTTGCTGAAGGTGCGTCCGCCGAAGGCGTCCGCACACTCGTCGTTGGCCCCATCCGTCTCGCAGTCGGCGAATCCGGCTGACTCTCTGTTGTCCGACTCGCGGTCGGCCGACCAGCAGTTGTCCGACTGGGCGTCGGATACACCCTGCGCGTCTTGACTCCACTTGGCCTGCTTGCTGGTGGCGTTCTTCCAGAAGTGCCTTCCGCCGAAGACGACCCTCTGAGGATTGTTGGCTCGTCAGCCAAACTCTCTTCTGCTTCCGGCCTGCTGTCCGGTTCAACGCGCCGTTCAGTTGGCCTTCCTTCCGCTTGTCGACCTTCAGTCATCCGACTCGCAGTCGGCCGGTCGTCAGTCCGTCCATCTCCTCCCGAAGGCCGTGGTGCCTTCTGTGCAGAGGTTTCTGCCGTCTTCCCTAGGATCTGAGCGATTATCTCTTCCTGTGTGAGATTCCGCCGGGTCGGAGTTCGCCTGGTCTCCTCAGTAACAGTTGGCATTTTGCGTGCCCTCTGTTTTGGTCGACTGTGAGGCTCGGGGGTGGGCCGACCACGAGTCGGCGCAGCTGGTACTTCCGGCTGCCTGTCCTCAGGTCTCTCATCCCACTTCCGCTTTCGCGGAATGCGCTCACTTCGACGTTCTTCTGCTGCTCTTGCTGGAGCCGGAGCCGGAGGCGTACTGGCAGGTTCCTCGTCCAGATCCGTGTCTACTTCGGCCTCCCTCGAATATCTACCTGGATAAGTCCGGGTCAGCTGCGGAAACCGAGTTTTCTCAGCATTCGTCAAACATCCCATCGCCCGGTAAAACACGATTAAGTAAGGCGATAGATGATTGAGCGTTCCTCCCCTCTCTTCTTGCGCATGTTGGCGCGTCACCTTCCACAGGAGCCGTGCCCAATGCACCGGAGCTCCTGACAACACTAGCTCCACGAACTCTACCTGCCAACCATGCATGTAAGCGGTCTTGGTCGGCTGCAATATCTGCAGCAATGCCGTCGCGACATTTCTCCGCAATCGATCCTTGTAATCCCGTGTCCGGAAACCGTTCTTGGGATGTC